ATATGAACTGCTACTGGTTTAAATTTGTTAACCTTTATTCATGGCTAAAATGTTCCATTCCTTTTATTAATTTTGTAACCCATCTCTGCACTATTTTCAGTGCCATAATATCCTTCTTTAGAACAAGTGACAATTGAACAGCATATTCAATATGTGGTCTTACCAGTGATTTATAAACAGGCAAAATTATATTCTCATCCCGAGAATTAATGCCCTTTTTTATGCATTACAATACCTTACTGGGCCTAGCCACTGCTAGTTGACATTGCACATTGCATATTTTATTGTCTATAACAATTTCCAAATCCTTCTCGTGTGTTGTTATTCCTAATTCACTTCCATTTAAGCTATAAATTGCTTGTGAATTCTTTACCCTGAAGTGCATAACATTCCCTAAACACATACACTCTACAACTTGTATACACACTATGTTCCCTATACACACTCACTAACTCTGTACAGCCCCTAGCCACACATTACCCCACAAACACAACACAACTGAAACCAACCTATTTACACAACATCATACTACTATCAGCTCACTCTACACACACGCAATCCCACAAGCAGGCTCCAAACACATGCACAATACTCTTTCCTGGCCCTTTTGTTTTCTAGTATCCCACTTATGGAGACACCAGAGACAAGTTACAAGTAAACACAGTCCAAGCATGTTAATAAAAATGCTTGTGCTGCACAGAACAAATACAGGGCCTTTTTCTCATGCTAGAGCTTTTCAGCAGAGCTCTGCGCATGGTTTGCCCTGGAAGAGCATTGAACCAACATGCTTACTTTGAGAGGGGGCATGTTTGTCATGAGTGATGACAAAACACACCCTATGGCCCAGCCCCCTTCACAGTGGGCCGCTGTGATTAAAAAATGCCCCGGCCAAATTTTTTTCCCAGTCCGGCCCTGATCACCACATATACATCACGCATGTTTTGATGTCATGTGATCACTAATTGCTAATCACAGACCACTGAGGGCTATTTATCTTTTGTTAGATATTTATTCAGTACCCTGTTATGATTTCCATTTTTGGTAATCCAAGGGCATATTTTTCTATTTGATCCTTCTGAAATGTCACAGCAAACGAATCCATACAATGACTAGGTTCCTCCATTTTTGGCGCACATTTGGTGACTTAGGTCTAGAGGGTTCATGGCCCTGTTGTAATGTCAGGATAGTTATTCCACCACAGTACGAGTCTGTTAAAGAGGTCTTTAATAAAACACTTGTGGAGACACTACCTCAACACAGGCCATATGACTGTGCAATAGAGTTGTTGCCTGGTACTCCAGGGGAAGAGTATATCCTTTATCTCCCCAAGAGGGCAAAATTATGGAAGAGTACATCCAGGAAGCTCTAGAAAAAGAATTCACAAACAATCATCCTCGCCTTCTGCTGAAGGATTTTTCTTTGTTTCCAAGAAAGAGGATGATTTTTCTCCCCTGTATAGATTACCAAGGATTGACTAAAATTACAGTCAGAAATGCTATTCAACAGACTTCAATGGTCTATTTTTTACTAAACTTGACATCAGGAGTGCTTATTAGCTATTTAGAATAAAGGAGAGACATGAATGGAAAATCGTTTTTAAAACAATGAGTGGACAATATGAATACCTGGTAATTCCTTTTGGGTAATGCAATACTCCAGTGGTTTTCCAAGACTTCAAAATGATGCTTTAAAAGAATATATTCATTCTTACGTCTTAGTATATCTGGACAATATAATTATTTACTCACCTGACCAATCCACACATTATATCCAAGTTAAACAAGTCTTCAAAACAGTGTTAAAGAATGGACTATAATGCAAACTGAAAAAGTGTTTATTTAATCAAATTGAAGTACACTTTTTGGGGTATGTCATAAAAGCTAGAGGTTTCAAAATGGATCCTGACAAGTTCGAATCAGTTTTACAATGGCCCTATCTTTAAGTCTGAAAACTATTCAAAGATATATAGGCTTTGTGAATTACTATAATTGTTTCAGTTAATCATTTTCTTCCGCAATTGCTCCTATCACCAGTCTCACTCATAAGGTATCATGACAAGTGACCCAAACACGCAGAATGCAACCCAAAAGAAAACATATTACCGGACCTTAGAATGGCCGGGTTTAATGTAGATAGCATAGTTGAGAAATAGTCAAAGTCAAAGAAAACCAGAGATCAGGATAACGATAATGAATAGCCGAGTCAGGGAACCAGAAAACAGGATAAACAAGAAAACAAGTTGAGTCAGGATACCAGAATGAAGAGCAGTCACTATAACACAAGCAAGTCAAAATACCAAAATACATAGACAGATAACAGTATAGCACTAGAGGGAACAACCAGTGAAGCTCAATAGGGCACTGAACAAAAGCAAAAGTCACTCTTTTATAATGGAGCGTCTTTTGCTTTAAATCCACGCCCTCAAAACGTCAGGGAGAGTGGAATATTTAGAATTTTCATTGTATAGCCGCTATAATGTTGGCGTGCATGAGCCACATCATATAAGGGGGCGTGCGTGGAGCAGCAAGCATTCGACATGCTGTGCTGTCGCCAGGAGGAGTCGCAACCCGGAGCTTCCCCTCGCGGGTCCGCAGGATTAGGGTAAGGTATGACAGTACACCATCCTCCAAAACCGCCCACTGGACGGGAAGGGCCTGGCCAATCAGGATAAAGGACATAAAAAGAACGGAGCAAACGAGGAGCATGAACATCCCAAGCTTCGACCCATGATCTCTCCTCAGGACCATACCCTTTCCAATCTATAAAATACTGCAGTTTACCCGTAGAATATCTGGAAACTATAATATATTTAATTTCATATTCCTCCTGTCCTTCTACTTGTATAGAGCAAGGCTTGGTTTTGGTAAACCGGTTACATACCAAATGCTTCAGTAGAGAGACATTGAAGGTGTTTGGAATCTTAAAAGAAGGTAAGAGCAGTTTGTAGGACACAGGATTGATCCTTCGGAGAATCTTGAATTTTCTGATATAACGAGGCACAAATTTCATAGAAGAACCTTTAATCGTATGTTCTGTGTACTTAACCACACCCTAGCACCTACTATGTAAGTAGGAGTAGCACTACGATGTATATCTGCATTGCACTTTTGGAGCTTAGCCCTTTGTATAAGGATTTATTTTACCCCTAACCAAGTCTCTTGTAATTTCTCCAAACGGCTTTCTACACTTGGCATACCAGTAGGAGAGAAATAACATGGAAACACAACAAGGTCATACCCATAGTTTACATAAAAAGGACTGTGTTGCGTAGACTTGTGTACTTGGATGTTAAAAAAGTGAACTCAGCCCAAGGGAGTAAACCAACCCAATCGTCTTTATGTTCAAAAGTTATAAATTGAAGGTATTGTTCAAGGGATTGGTTCATCCTCTCGGAAGCACCATTAGACTGAGGATGATATGAGGAAGAACAATTCAATTGTATGCCTAATTGGTTACAGAATGCCTTCCAGAATCGGGAAATGAATTGTGAACCCCTGTCAGAAACAATATTGTTAGGTAAGCGGTGTAACAACCTCTCTTATGAACAATGTTGCATAGTTCAGAGGAGGAAGGTAACTTAGACAAAGGTATGAGATGAGTCATCTTAGGGAACCTGTCAACGATGGTTAACACAACAGTTTTGTTTTCTGTCGGTAAGTAAACCACAAAATCTATCGCTAGACTAGAACATGGTTTAGTCGGAATAGATAATGGCATAAGTGTGTGGGGTTTTATTTACAGAACATGTGCTAAAAGCAAGTATATATTCTCAAATGTTCTTTTTGTAGGAGGGCCACCAGAAACACTTAGCTAGAAGAGACTCGGTCTTGTGTATACCAGGATGGCTAGCCGTCTTGGCATTATGCTTTTGCGAAAGAACCTTTTCTCTGTGAACTGGAGGTACATATAATTTGTTAGAAGGTACAGATAATGATGTCTGATCCTGAAGCTTTTCTAGTGTTTTTATTAGATCTGAACTGATTACTGTTTTAGTTGTGGCTAATATGCATTCAGCAGGTATTATGGGCGGGTTTTGTGGTTCGGTACAGGATTGGGGTTCACACTGATGGGATAGAGCATCAGCTTTAGTATTTTTTGACCTGGGTCTGTACATCACCTTGTAATTAAAACTTTATAAAATTAAAGACCACCGAGCCTATCTGTCAGTCATTTTCTTAGCTTCTCCAAAATAGGATAGATTTTTGTGGTCAGTAAGAATAGTAACCGGTGTAGTAGCTGTAATACATGTCGCTATTCCTCTAGAGCAGGGATAATTGCCAATGATTCCCCATCTCTTATGTCATACCGTCTTTCAGTAATTAATCGAACCGTCTTTGAGAAGGAACAGCCACCACACTTGTCTCTGATGCATCAACCTCCAACAAAAACATGGGTGAGAAGGGTCAGGTTGAACCAATATGAGCGTTGAAGCAAAAGCTGTCTTTAGGGTGTAAAAAACAGCAATGGCCTCTGGAGTCTACTGTTGGTGTGACTTCGCTTTTTTGGTCATGGACGTGATAGAAAACCCTTTTATGAACCTCCTATAATAGATTGCAAATCCCAAGAAATGTTTTATGGATTTTAAACCAACTGGTAGGGGCCAACTAAGTATAGAATTAAGCTTCTTTGGGTCCATCTGAAACCCTGAACCTGAGATAATATACCCTAAAAAGTGTGCCTCACTCTTTTTTCCAATTTATAGTGTAGTCCATTTTCCAATAACTTGGATAGGATTTGTTG